ACAATAAGCAACAACCAATTAGTTGTGTCAAATTCACTACGTATGTATTAAAAGGCTAAATTGAACGAAGCTACGTAGAACATGCCATACTTGCTATAACATATATGTGCTGACATGAAGTTCTGGGTTGCCTTATTCAGAACGGTAGATACAACCGGAAAGAGAAAAGAATCTAATATTAGCCATTAGGATGGAGCTAACAGCATACAATGTGATACCTGTTTCGTACAGGGTAGATAACTCATTCGTTTTGTCCACTTTACACGCTCACTGTGAGCTAGTCTTTTTCAGCTTACGACACTGCACTTTTTGTAACGCCTTGATTGTTATTGCGGCTTCAGTGGCTTGCGAAGCATCTTACGTTTTTCCTACTTCTAGCGGAGCCTTCCTAAACATTTGCTTCGTTTCCCGCTTCCTCATCGACCTTAACGATTTATTTTTCCCCTCTGTTTATTTTGAGCACTCGTGCAGAACAATTCTGCCCCTTGGACCGAGATTCCGGACGCTGACAAACCTAAACGTCTTGGTTAAAAATCATTGTAATAACAGCCCTTTTTGTGCTATTCTGTTGTTGTCGACATACCACTGCCTTCTTAGCGGAGCACAGGTCGCAGGCTTGTTCGCTGTTCCTGTCACGTATACATCGGTTTAAATAAAAAGATGGCGAAGCATAAAATAGAGCTGAAGTGGCGATTCTCCTGTAGTTGATTAGCGGAACCGCTCGTTCATGAATGTCGCAAGACTATGAAGCTAAAATAAATTTCAACCAAATCGAAGTTTACTAATGCTGATATCTATAACGTCAATTGCATTATTTGATCAGGTTCAGAAGAATATATTAAAGTCAGATGATTTTCATCCTGGTGCAGTATTTGTCTATGAAAAGAAAACATTTATGTAGGTGTACATAATAAATAAAGTAGGTACATAAACGCTTTATCAGGTTCCTTGATGTTCAGTTTTCATGAACTTTATTCGCACCATTATGCATTCTATTTTCCTTGTATGTTTACTAAGCACCTTTGAAAGTTTTACCTGTTTATTTGACAGATGATACAGCTCATTGAGGGCATATGTGAAGTACAGGGTAACGTAGTAGCAAGCCAGAGCTGTATATAAAACTTCGTTATATGTTGAGACGCACGTTGCCCAGTGCGCGTTTCTGATGACGGGATAGAGATCTACTATTAGGATGTACAAATCGCTAATAATGTATAAGGCAGTGACAATATTCAGAACAAAAATTAACTCGATTAGCTGAAGCAAGACAAAAGTTGTACAAGTAATCTCGTAGCAAAATCATGGGCATGAATATGTCTATGGAAACAGTGCTCGAGCATTTCTTGCAGTATGTGTCATGTTGCTTGCAAAATAGCACCTTTTTTTAGTTTTTTTGTATGCACGACTGCCACAATAGTTCCTAGAGAACGTGAGCTAAGACGCATGATAAAAGTTATAGAGCCAGCCTTCAAAAGCCTGCTAGGAAGGTTCCTCTGCACCCACCATATTCGAACCCCATGCCAATGGCTTAGCACGTTTCCTGAGCACCTGTATATCAATTCACGACAGTACTACCTGACAATTAAGAAAGTCTAAAAAATTGGTCCAGCAACTTCTACAACGTCAAACATAACATTTTCTTTAGCAGTGGGATTTAATTGTAAGAACGCATAATGAATTCATTTGTTGAGAAAATACTATTAAAATTATGAAATTAAAAAAAAAAATTATAAAAAAAGAAATCACTATTACAGCGACACTGCTTTTTGACTAATTGAATATAATGGTGCCAACATTGTTTTTACCTGTCCACTTGATGAGCCACGCAAGGACAATTTAAAAATGCTTACAAAATGACCAGTATCTGATCTATACTTGGGTAAATTCGTAGCACCTACTTACCGCGACATAATGAAATATGACTTATACTATAACAATACAATAGTGAACTTGAATATAGTTTTACTTTTTTCACCTAATAGAAAATAGAAAACTTTCAAAGAAATTAACTATATTATGTATTCGTCATCACTACTTTTTACCATCTTACTTTATCCCTCAAGCGCTTATTTTGTGTCGACAGCCGTTTTTAGTTCTGGCATTGAAAAACTTGTCCGGTTTAGTTTTTGCACTTCATTCATTGTTAAATGTACGGTTACGAATCTTTTGTTGATAACTGAGAAAAAATTATAAGCCATCGAGCTCTAAAGAATAAAACGTGTATATTAAAATTCCACATGCAGTCCATTCTATACACAACCTGATAATTTCGTGAATAAGAATTACTTTGCCTAATTAACTGGGCCTTAAAAGTTATAAAACTTCGTTCGCTCGGAGCAACTAGGCCCTCTAAAGATCCTTGTTAACCGTTTTATTCTTCTCAAACGCGTTCCAGTGTATAGAACCCTTCCAGCTCCACCAAACGCAAATGATCGTTTTTTTCCGATGGAGGTTCGGCTTAACCTTGGCATTAGGCGTATAGCTGTCTGTTCCTTTTTCTACTTTACATCAACGTAGAGGAACCACTTTTCGTAACCGGTGACAATCCCCGGTAGAACCTTATCTTTGTGGCCGTGTGTTACCACGACACTGAGGGCCAATGAGCGGTCACGATTCCTTGTGCACTTCACTATCATTTCCGATAAAATCACATGTATTTGACATATGAACGTAATCTGGTGTCCGCAGCTTACTCGGCCAATTAATGAGTTGTTTGAAAGATGGGGTTCTCACCGACCTCAGACAGTCTACTGGGATATTGTACATTCTCGAGGTCTAAAATTTAATCTTTAAACTTAGCAAGCAATAGTCCTTACAGTTATAAAGTCCTCTATAATATATAAAGGATACGAATGATCTAGCGCATGGCGTTCGTAAAGTTGGCAGTAAATCTAGTTCTATCTACCTCGATAGCCCATGGGTACCGCAATAGCCTCGTTACCTAAGAAAGTCTGACACTCCTCTACCCTGTAATTCATTCACTCCGTGTGCCACTCCACTTCTTTGCTATTTAGTATTATTTAATATAATTACTAAAAATATACTCAAGGGCAAGGCTGAAAGGTGCCTAGTAATAATATTCCTTACGTATAAGCACTTCAACATCTAACAAGTCTAAAAAAAATTTACAATAACTGAAATTGAAATCAAGTATCTAAGACACAATCCAAAGTTGAACTTATGTGCCTGGAGTTATGCAACCATCCCGGTTCATTGGTTCATTTCTTTTGGTATATATACGTCCTCCAAGCGCATCTGCTGATTATTGCTAAAATGCACTTTCTCAATATACCTTAAATTATTTATACTATGCGACAATTGCAGCAAGTGAAGTATATATGCATATATATTTATATATAGCTTAGTCGCTTTAGACTATAGGAAATACATCATATTATGCCCCACAGTAAAAGCTGTACTAACCTATATATTTTTTCAATGTAATCCCATTTAAATTATTAAACTTAAATGCTCATTTAAAGCATACCAAACTCGACAATGATTACGGCATGTTCCTTAATACGTCCAAACACTTTCTAAGCTTCTTTTTGGTGCCACTTGGATATAGAGTTAGAAGCAATGAACGAACTTGCAGTGTCTAAGAACACAAGCGTTTGATTTGAGACAAAATTCTTTGGTAATATGGACTACAGGACACACTTCCTGTTACTTAGCTTTTTCCTGTTTTTTATTTATCTAGTTGAAATTCCCCTTGTCTCATCCGTCGATATTATTCCAGAAAAGAAAACTTCCTTTTGTATTAGTTTTAATTTTAGCTAACTTCATGAATGTCCTAATTTTTGACAATTTTAGCACTCTGGGGACCTGATTTAAAGTCCTACTTGGAGAAAGAAGCATTGAAAGTAAGCGCAAATATTATAAAGACACTATCTTCCTTAACGTATAACTCCTCAGAATATATACTTTTCTATACGTAATTGTTTATAAACAACTTTATGAAAAGAGATTTCTAGAGAGTTTTTTTAATTAATTTTTAACGATTTATTAATAAAAACCTTATTGAAAAGTCCCAAAGATACAAAGACGCAAAGTGGATATACTTGCCCAGAAATACTATTACCGTAATATTATTAAACGCTACCTTTAAAGTTATTACAAATGCATGATCATTTGCACAGGTGAGGATGCTATTTTTTCAGCTTATAACACAAGCATGTCAAAAGATCGCAAAAATATTCATGAATCAACTTTGACTCAAATACATACGGATCTTCTGGCTGTTACCTATTATATCACATATTTTATAAGAGTCGAACTGTTAGTCGCATAAATATTAAAAAAAATACCGAAATATAACAAGCTGCTAATTGGTGTGTTAAGAAATCACAAACAATAATTTTACGTATATCTTGGCCTATTTAGATCACTACGAGATAAAGCGCCGTGCTCATTCACTTAAAACGATTATATATGACAGGTACAATCATTACTTAACTGTAAAGAGGACCGTTTAGATCCTAGGGTTTCAAATACTTATTCTCCACATAGAAGATGATTTTAGCGAGTTCAAACTTGACCGAAATAGGAAATTCTATTTTTCTGATAAAACATATTCGTCTAAACAGTGAGGCGCTAAAGGCATTAATGACTTTCAACTGAAACAACGCCGTTAAATTTTCTCTTCGTAGGATTTGCAATGAAAGCTGAGGTCCGTAGACGAGGACGCATTGACAAACAGAATATTTCAACATAACAGGTAAAGGCACAACACAAACGAAGTTCGTCACGTCCACTATATGAATAATGTGCCACAGTGTCACTAAGGTGAGTTCAACGCTAGAAAAATTGTTACGTTGTAACTTATATTGTTTAGATGTTTAAATGTGTCGTAAACTCCAAAATGGTTTAGAAACCATTATAAGCAGATTCTATGGTATGCCGGATGCAGCTACTCTGTGCATCTCGCTATTATGATTAGTTAATGATTGCAATCTCGTGCTGTCTGCTCATTTTGTCACTATTGTTGTTTTTCTTATTTCCTGCTGCGTCTATGCTATTCTACTCGTATTTACCCTTTCCCGAGGTGGCTCTTTCTCCATATTTGTTTACAGATTGATTAACTTTAGTACCTTCATGTGGATGTTTATCGTCTGCTGTCTCCCCTTTATATCGAACTTTACGTCCGCTATCGCCGTTAGGCAGGCATAGTTCCGTCAAAAGGGCGGCTGGTTGGCTGGCTCCCAGCACGAAACGAAGTGTCTATCTGTCTGTCTACCTATTCCCTGTGGGTTCGAATCTAAATCACATCGTCTGCTATCTGTGTGCGTCCTTCCTAACCAACAACGATACGCAGCCACTTTCATGGTGTGTTGTTGTTGTTGTTGTTTTTCTATACAGCCGTGCAACTACTGGTGCTGTTGCCGTCGTACTGGTTAGCATCTGTTATTCCTAAGGGCAGGCTACACTTATTTACACAGTATCCATCCGCCTTCAGTATTTTCTACCTACGGCATCAGAGCCCGTGATCGCAGGACTTTCTTCAGCCTTGGTGCCAAACACGCTGTCGTCGCCTCTTCTTCCATAGCAATTCGTGGCTACTGCTGCTATATTGCTGAGCTGTTGCCTTTATTGAAGATATTGAGGGGGCCCTGCCCTCTCTGGCCGACGGCGTTGCGGTGGTTCTCCGTCGATAGAGAGGGAGTTCTATCTGCAGCCGGCTGGTATTGGGTCGGTCGCCGTTGATGTTGATGCTCCGGTATTCACGGTGCGTTTCATTGTGTCCATCCTTTTTGTGTGAACGAATGAGCTGTGCTGGCAGCAGCAAAGTTGTTCAAGACGGCCGGTTTCGTGTCTCTTGCGTCCAGCATACAACCCACTTGCCGTCGTTCGTTGCTAGTCGAAGAAGCACCGGGAAACTAGCGGCGTCCGGTAATTACAACAGCAACAAACAAGTGGCCACTACGACAAATCGTAGTAGTAGACGGGCTCGAGGATAATCATCTGCTTTTGAGCTGTCTGTCTGCCAGTCCCTTCTGTGCGGTGTAGGCCGTGGTCGTTGTGTATGGACTAACACAGGTGTCGGCTGATTTGTTGCCAGTCTGTTTCGAATAAGGAAAAGACAGCGCTTGTTTGAGAGTGCGATTATCGGCTTTGCGGAAAACGGAGAAACAGTTTCAAGTGTATACGCGTGCTTACGTTCAGACATTCTCGTACACGACATTAATAGGCAGAAAGGGAGAACGAGAGAGAGAAGCTAGAGTCTAAGGAATTATTTGCCTATCAACGTCACTGGTAAGTACAACCAGATAAGCAAGATAGTGGCCAAAACACAAAAACAAAGAAAAGAACAGAAGGTGCAAAATCTTTTCAGGCGGAGATCGAAAATAAATATTCAAAGTAAAAAGAACTATCGCGAATGAGCTGATTCATGGACGATTCGTGTCCGAATATAAGTACATAACCCCTTCCGTAGTTTTTAACATTCGAAGAATACAGGTATATACTGGAAGCCATTAATCGGCTGAAGCGTATTTCTTACCAGAGAGATTATTTTCAGAGGCACTTTTGTCTACATAATCAGAGTGATTTAGTTGTTTTGGTCAGTCGTTCGAAACCTAGTTAGGAGACTAGCAGGTGTGAGCATGGTTTTCGAAAGGCGCGTTTACGTCGAAAATAAGAAAATCGTTTCTCGTTCACAAAAATCAATGCAGGGGAGTGTGGGTAGGCAAGCCGACAACTGATGACGGACACGGACAACTTAGGTTGACGTTTTTAGGTGAAGCGTTTAATGGGCAACTGCTATCGTGTCTATGTTCAGCAAATTGCGGCCGTTATTTTAGCCTCCGGCTTAGCACCAGCGTAAGTCTGTTCCCGGAGGTATAAGGTCAGATACAGTGAACGACACGCAAACCTGTCTGAAGCAATAACTCACGGGAAAGTCGCAGCATCTGTCGCTTCGGAAGACAACCTTAAAGATCCAGATATTTACGCAAAAGCTCTGTACAGGAAAAGAGAGAGAAAATAATGACTTTGAAGATTACGATGACGACCCAGGGCAGCACTGCGTAAATACGATGTAACGCTTCTTCGGGGATAGCCCGTGGTCAGATGACACATACGCAGACAAATCGAGCTACAAGTGAAGTGAAGCAGACTTGCCAGTGATTCGTCTGCCGGCGGCCGATCTTCAGGTATCTTACGGAACTGTTGAGTGTGACATCTTAAGAGGTAGGCGGTACATGATTTTGTCAAACTCTGTCATGTCTTTGATCCCTGCCTTTGGCGTTAACACGACCAAAAGTCTTCCTGTTTTCAGTTGCCCAATTTGCCACGTCGACAGCGCCGCATGTTCATTAGTGTCGCTTTGGACGAACAGGCTTTTTTATGTCAGTAGCCGTCCTTTTACCTGGTTACCTTCTTTGTCTGTGATAGTTTAATTACGCGTTCAGCTGCTAATAACAAATTGCCAGAGCTTTGCTATGAGTTTACGAGCGGCGTTGTTCACATATGTCGGGAAGGGTATAAGTAAATGAATATTAGATAGGGCCAAAGATAGTCGAATGACAAATTCAAGACTTTGATGAATATATAGGTAAGGACGAATGTCAGGGATTTGTACGCAATAATGAAATAGCTTTTATTTATGACTTATTTACTGTTAATAATGGTCTTGATAAGCATACCATGCTGAACAGGCGATACTCGATCTGACTGTACATCGTATCGTTATCCAGTTACAGCAGCCAGTGGTATGCACTGGTTTGCGGAACTGGGCGGTCAGTTTTCGATACCGTCAAGCTTTCTTGCCGGTGGCGTGTCGTTTAAGACTGATTACTCGATGCTCATTTTCTCAAATACTTTTAAGACTTCTTAAGCTAGGCGAAACCAAAGTATGATCGATGCACCCTCGAAATAGAGTCCACAGCAAGCCATATTCAGCCTTGTTGAATCTAATAATCTAAACTATTTATAAGTACAATGTATTTTGAACGATTTCAGCCACAGGTCACTTGTCCCTCCCGATGCGTACAAAACGCTAACAGTGCCTGTAGCAACAATAGCAATAATAGAAGGCGAAGGTGTACAGTCGCCATTACTGATAGTGTATAGCCGATGCGTTTTTCAGCTATTGTAATAGCAACTTTTATATTCGAAACTCAAGTAAGATCTGCAATAATATCCGTGATAGAAATAGGCGGATTTACGGATGTTTTCAACCAAATCAGACATCTACTGTATTAACAGTCATATATGGTATTGGCATCGACCGATGCTACATGTCCTTCGAGTTTTTTTTATCTGGTAGACAAAGCAGGAAGGTGATATATCGACAGGAACGTCCAACTGGCCCAGATGCTAGACGAAACATTGCGAAAAGTGATTTGGCCTCTGTCTTAGCGGAGAACCTTTCGGATAGTATCATCAGTCATCGTTGCTTGTTTCAGTTTATCGAGTAGTTGGTTAAAAATAAATTTTTTTTTCTATACTGAAAACTCATGATTACTCGTGCAAGTGAACGATAATCGCGTTCAGCTAAATAGAATAAGAAGGAATAGACCAAGTAGGATCTGGAATAACGACTCTTACGTATTTTGCATACAAGCCTAAACGGATTGTCGAATGTTCAAGTACTTTTCAATAAATCTTGACCGAACAAAAACGGCTTGTTTAAGCTATTAAATGTTTGGATTGTTTTTCAGTTGGCCACCTTTTTTCTCCAATAGTAATTAAAAATGTCGCAGTCCAGATAATTGTAAGTTATTTTAGAAGAAATTGTATTGTTTTAATATTTGAATATAACATAACTTATTATTAAGTTATGTTATATTGTACCGGTTCTCACTTAATTATTATTAATTAAGTGAGAACCGGTACAATCGAAACCTATGAGAGCACATGTGCAGGCCCGATGTTTCGTTGTGTAAAGGATTCGCTTTCATAAATCTTGTACCAGTAATATCCTTAAAAGCACAAATCGTTACTGAATCCTGTTTCTGGGGATTTTGAATTGAAAGGGAAAACAACGATGCAATTTTTGACCGATAAGTGTCAGGAATATATTACAAGCAAATAGCAACAAAAAACAAGTATCCAGAAGTTTATTCGTGTGAATTTACTTGGAAAGCAACAATTATTGATGATCTGTGTTGCGCTAGCTTTTCCTTTAAACGAAACCCTTCATATATAGCGAAGTTGTCAAGATCAGTTAAACGGGCTTCTACTTGAGCGTTGTGTGGTATTTGTACGTATATTTGTTTTTGAAGAGCGTGTCTAGAGAGCGATACCTTGTTGGAGTTTTTTCTGCCATGGCTTCACTGACACCATATGCGATGGGAAGCTGTTTATTCTAATACATCTTTTCCCGTTTTGGTGACGCCAAGGCTACAGCGAACAAAGACGTCAAATCACTGCCACTTTGCTGTTTCCTCGTTAATAAGCAAACTTTCAAAACCAATGGGTATATGATTTCCTCGTGAATGCTGAACTGTTCGGTGACGTGGCTAAATTATTGCCGGGTCACTCAGGTTGATGTTTCACATATATATGTGCATGAGTACATATTTGTTCTGTTATTATTATAAGCATCTAATTATATAATAATAATTATGAAGCGTTAGAGGTAAGGCATTCATTCGTATGGCTATAATTGATTGCTCCGTGTCCTCGATGCGAGCGAAGATTCTCAAGCAAAAGTGAGCTTTTTGTGCATTTATTTACGTCCATTATGTCTAGATGGATAATGAGCATCCCTTTGGGATGTTGCCATAATGATAATGAACATGCGGCCGTTACTGGTTCAGATTTCAGCGTTCGCATATAGTTATAAGGCTGCCGTTTCGCAGATCTGGAATCAAACTCCAGATAAGTCCAGCAAGGCCCATCCCGACGAGACCTTCTAGTGGGGACAAGTAGGTCCCTGATACTGTATTGAATAGGTGATTTCGTGGACTTCTTCAAACAATAATGATAGCCGACAACGTTATATATATAAATATATTTCTTTAAAAAAAAGGGATGAATACAAGAAACTTAATAATAGGCCCTTGATTGTTGACCATGAGTAATTATCTAAGCTCATTAGCTGGTCTGGATAAGGATACGCATTAGTTTGCGTTATACTCCATAATGTTGAATAATGAATCATTCACTAACTAGTGACAGTATACGATATCGAGAACGCAAACAGAGCGATGGCTGTTCTTTTTTTTTACATAGTAACTTAGCATGTATTTGCAACTTACTCGACCCTCATCGAAGCATCTGCGATACTCCACCCCTAGACTGATCCTGCTGTTGAATTTTGATCAGTTTGGTTCGTCGAACTCTGCGTGCTTTGAGCGTCGGCAACGGTGTTATCTCGTACGACGTTCGCTATGCAAACGGTGTTAGTCTAATTCTATTGAGTTTTGAGTTCTTTATCATAGCTATTCGGCCAGCTGCTGCTTAAAAGAAGGTACCGCCTGACTGACTTTATGCTGCTTCTTAATACGATGAGATTATTATTGCTATAACTTCTGCAAGCATATAATGCAAACGTCCTGTCCCGTATTTAATGCTTTGAGCATGTAGCGATCATAATTGTTCAGTAAGGATAAATCTGAAAAAAAACCAGCCACTGCAACATAATCACAACGCCAAAAATAATCGACGCAAAAAAATCGAATCAAGGTGGATGACAATAACAGAGACACACTTTTGCGTTAATGAAAAAAAGCTGTGCAGTACATAATTTTTTCCGCACATCGTCCTTTTAGGCCTTATCAACGACATGGCACATTAATATTTATATTGTGTGTTTTAGTTATACCATGCATCACAATCGTGTTCTTACAGATCCATAGTTAGTCCAGATGCACTTACCCTTCAATGCTGGATATAGAAAACGTTGAAAGCGGGTGGAGATCACTTAAGGGCAAATATTGAGATAGAGTAAAAGAGAGGAATAGATAAAACCAGACAGATGATAAGAGTTATCAAGCGAGTATATGCTACGAAATATTTCATTCGTTTATCTTAAATTTGACCTCTGCGTGCATTACGATTAACTTCAATCGAAACCTGTGATGATAGCGGAGTTGTACATTTGTTCATAGTTGCAGAATTTTTCTCCATTAATACTTCATTCGGTCTGCTAATTTTCAGTGTCATCAAATTTCAAAAATACACAGGTAAATTCTACTCATTTCTAAATATTAACGACTGCTACCCATCCCTATCTGTGAAACCAATCTACTTCTATTGTTACGGGGTATAATGGTATAAAGAATAATTTTTCTCACTTATGTTTAATGTGGCAATATTCGCAAGACCTGCACACTCGAAATACAGTAGATTTATTTTGGTTTAGTATTTACAAATTATGTTCTTCAGTTCGATGAGTTGGCTCAATACAGAAAGCTTACGATGCTGCCCAACGACGATTACCGCCATTCTATATCACCTCCTGTGTCGATGCTGTTTTCGCTGATGATTGTCGTACCTGGCCGTCACGTGGCTTTGCCCTTTCTTCAGTTTTCTCGGTCAGTCTTAATTTATCCTGATAGGCAAGAACGGGTCGCTTTATTAAATTTACTCCTGCCGTTGTCAATGGCGGTAGTACCGGCCGTTTGCCTTTTCGTTGCATAGTCTGCCAATTGTCTCCCGGCTATCGCCCGTGACAAAGTCTACGGAGAAAGATTACGGGGGACACACGAGGGTTTCAAGGGTGGGAAAGGTGAAAATAGCTCGGTTTGACCTAGAATTTGCTACTAAGTAAGTATATCATCACAACGACCTCACTCGGTGGCGCGACCAGTTTCGATAATTATTAACAAGTGTTTCGTAGGTGTAGAACTTGGTCGCGGCTTCTTATCTATTTATCTCCTGAGTGATCTCTCCTAATACAGTGTGATGTGAGTGGTGAGTGAACTTGTGTTATAGAAAATGAATGGCCTTGAGGCTTGTTAATGGTTGGTATTGGTTTCGTGTTCTGCGGCCGATTAAAAGTGTTGTGTCCTGGCAAAGTCCGACTGGTGAGAGACACAATTGGGTGTGTTGTTTTATTAAATTATTTTCCTTTTATTTAGAAGTATTTGCTACTGACATGTTATTGTATTTGGGTTACCTTCGAGTTCTTGAAGGTATCATGGTTACGATAGTTCTCTAGTATTGTACGTTATTCGGCCTACGGTAGCAGTGAGGCTATCTGAAGCCCTTAGGACCATCTTATAGCTCTCGTCATATTTTTGCCTTCTTGACCTTTGTGATGTACGGTTTTAGAGATTTCGAGCTGGCAGATCATTCGTTGCACTGAGTGGCCAAGTTGCACGGATAGCTGAATAGTTACTTAAAAGCGGATATTAAAGGACACGCTAAAGCAACGACATTTACCAACGTAGATCGAATTTGTGTTCGAAGGATCAAAAGGCAGCGGGGAAGCGTTCCCGAACGAATCGTGGACGTGAAAGTTGTTTCGAATGGCAGAAAAAAAAGTTATTAGCAACAACATTAACACCCTTCGTGGTATTCGTTGTTGCCTTTATTGCTCCCCAGAAAACGAGAAAAGGAGAGCCCTTATTGCCTCTTCTGCAATAAGAACTCATATGTCACGTTGCTTTCTCACCGCTGTAGTTTAAAATAAGTACCATATTATAAGTAAGATACCATATTATGAGTTTAACGAACAAGTAATTTAAAGCCGTGCTTTTAAATAAACAAGCGTCATCTTATTCTTTCGTGTACCGTTTCGTCACTGCCTATTTGCCATGTATCTTCGAGGCAAATTTTCTCGTTGGATCGAAAAAACTAATGCTTCTCCCAAAGTCTGTCCGATTAGTGCCGGACGTCTGCACACAAGGTCGAGAAATTGTAGTAATAGCTAATCTGCGGATATATTGGTCGATGTATCTATATACATACATATACATGTCTTTAGCAGTATTTTAAATATGCGATAAAAATTGGTCGTAATTATCGATCTAGCAGCGTATACGTGTTGTCTATGCGCTTTATGTAACTTCCTTTATAATATAGATACCAGCCGTCATATCGCTACTACTGAATTCACTGTTCCTAATGGTATTATTATGGTTAACAAAGAATTCCTTCTGAATCATAAATTTCAGAAATCTTAATACTGAGCTAATATGTCTGCTAAAGCTATCTCGGAGGCGACGGGAAAACGTCTCTTAAATCAGCACCTCGACTGCGCAGCTGCAGCCCCCTGCAAGTTTGCGACAGTCACCGATCTTTCTCAGTGGAATGATGTCTTAGCACAAAATCCGTGGATCCAAAATGAGGTGCGTGTGGTACCTCATGCAGTATGTTATTAAGATATGAAGATCGGGGACAAAAATGAACGGATGAACTCTCAAGAGGAATATATATATATATATATATACAATAATTAATTAATATATATAATGATTACATAGTCATAGCTGTGCACTGATATTTTACGCGAAGTAAATGAATACGAATGCTATACAGATAGGCTTATATAGATACGTTTTTGCTCTGAAATTATTGTTCATATTATTTGAAATGATAATACACATTATACAACCTAAACTTCATTATATTATTACTACGGTGTAAACTTCAGGCACTTGTTGTAAAACCAGACCAGCTAATCAAAAGACGAGGCAAGCTCGGGCTAATTCACATCAATGGTGATGCAAAATCCGTACACAATTGGATTGCTGAACGAATCAACAGGACAATCAAAGTAGAGCGTGCAGAGGGTGCTTTGAAAAATTTCATTATTGAACCATTCCTGAAACATTCAGAAGATCAGGAGGCATACGTGTGCATTTACTCGACGAGGGACTCCGATGTCATCATGTTCTACAAGCAAGGTATTAATAATAATCTGTACAGAATCCTACAACATACTCACTATAGGATATTCAAAAGGTCACGTTTTGCTACTTAATGCGTTCTCCTTACCACATCGTTGTCTGCAGATCGTTTAGCTCAACACGTATCGTCTATTGTGGTTACGAAGATATGATAACAGTGTTTCCGAATGTCTCGGTGCAAGCAGGGCTGTTCACGTTCAGATCTTCCAGGAAAGTCGCACCCATAATATGGAGGCGTCACAGAAATACAATGTCTGCCTAACACCAATTGTGCTTTAATCCCACAACAGAAAAATGTGTGCCAGTCACAGCATTTTTTGTCTACCAGTAATGGTTCTTGGAACCACAGAAATTTAATAATATAAGTTTCCATCAATTTTTCGTTTTTTTTTTGCCTGACCAAGCAATATTACGCAAGGAATCCGATTAGTCCTTTCTTAGGCAACACGTGATCATCACTAAACCTTTTTCATCAGGTAGAGTTTAGGACGATTAATCGAGATCAGATACGAAGCTTGGCAGTTGGGATCTACTTAGTACGTTTCGCTAAAGGGCTTTTGCTTGTTGTCTACGTTGTGTCTAGTTCTACGGTGCACGCCTTGTATTCAAGAAATATTTACCAACGTCGACGTCATAGAACTATTCTAAGAACTTTTTAAGAACTGCTTGGCTACACTGTACAATATGATCGATCATCCAAGACTGTTGTCTTGCCTATTGTGAGCTGGCTGGCTGGCTCTGGATCAGACATAGCATTGTTGATAAAGGTGGGCATTCTCTTAAAACGCATCTCGGATGGCTGTCGATGTAACCTTTCGTACCATCAATCAGTTATCAAGTGACGCATCGACGCGAATCAAATATTTAATTGTGTTGTTGGTGCGTAAGTTTCGGAGGTATCTGATTATATGCGTCACTTCGTGTAGACGTAAATTTGATTTCTTTTTTGAAGTTTATATTGGCTATTAAGACGATTAATAACCTGCTATATTTATATAAATGCATTGATTTGTGATTTAAAAAAAATCGAAAGGTGGAGTTCATGTTGGCGATGTAGACGCGAAGGCCCACAAAATGGAGGTGCCCGTCTTTTTGCAAGAGGAAGCACCTGATGTACGAGCGGAGATCGCTGTCAATCTCCTCTTCGACCTAGATGATGCTAAAAAGGCGCTGTTGACCGAATTTATACAGAAGCTGTACTCTACTTACGTATCACTCTACTTCACATACCTTGAAATTAACCCGTTAGGTGAGAAAACACTCAGCTGCACAAAGCTGTGACGCGGTTTGATACGCTAATATTTTCACTGATAGGTATTTTAAATCTCATATCTGAAATTTCTGCCTCGAGGCGAACAAAAAAAGTAACATTTGTTGTACGGTTGATATTGCACACTTTATTCTATACAATGCATATTGTGACAAGTTTTTTTCTAAAAAATTCGCTAGTAACTTCAAACCATAGTTTTTTTGCGTAGTGCCGTGACTCATCCTTAATTGATTTTTCCCCGACAGTGATCACGAATGGCAAGATGCATATCCTTGACCTGGCGGCAAAACTGGATGCTACTGCAGACTACATTTGCAAGGCGCGTTGGGGAAACGTCGATTTCCCACCTCCCTTCGGCCGCGATGCAACCCCAGAAGAGGCTTATATTCATGATCTCGATTCTAAAAGTGGGGCTTCCCTTAAACTTACTGTGCTCAACCCAAAAGGTGAACTTCAGGATATCGTGCTTCTGACGGAAAAATTATCTCTAATCAAGCTAAGTTTTTTTCTCAGTGTTCTCTGAATATTAAACACCGGTACCTAAAAAATCCGTTCTTCACTATTAGTCAGTCGCAACGTACATTATTTGCCATAGTTCAATCATTTGTCTTTTTTGGTGTAATACTTTAACGTCATAGCCAATCAAGTGCTGTTTCTGAGCCTTCTCCTGTTTGAGTGTCACCAAATATTTTGTATTTATTATTGTAGGACGAATTTGGACCATGGCCGCTGGCGGTGGAGCTTCAGTAATTTATTCTGACACGGTATGCGAATTGGGAGGCGCAGATGAGCTTGCCAACTATGGTGAGTACTCGGGCGCACCAAACGAAAGCCAAACCTACGAGTACGCAAAAACGATCCTCGGTTTACTCTGCGCACATCCTCATCCCCGGGGAAAAGTACTCATTATCGGCGGTGGTATTGCAAACTTCACTAATGTTGCAGCGACATTCAAAGGTAAATTCAACACAATCCGCAAAATTGTTATTGAGCCAATGGAATATAACACGATGCGGATGTTACATATATAGGGATAGGTTTTCAAACACACTTGACTCTGCCGGAATGTATTCCACAATTTTCTAGCGGCAGAATCTGGTTCTATATGAATTTAATTGCTCGCGGTAACCTCTACGGCACTTAGTGTGACTTTAAAATAATTACATAGAAGAATATAAACTTTTTTCCCCCTTTTTAATTTCTGTGCAGGTTTGTGGATGCTTTAAGACGCTATACCGTCTAAGCTCATTTCCAATGGCCCTATATCGTATGAATGAATAAATACTGCTGCGTCGTTACAGGCATCGTGAAGGCACTGCAAGAGTTCCGCGAGCGGTTGGTAGAGAACAAGGTGAGCATTTTTGTGCGTCGTGCAGGTCCGAATTACCAAGAAGGTTTACGAGTAATGAAGGACACCGGCCGTACCCTCGGGTTGCCGGTACATGTTTTTGGGCCAGAAACACATATGACAGCAATTGTCGCTATGGCAATGGGCGTAAGAGACATTAGCCCGCCAGCGGATGGAGCTCCCACGACGGCCAATTTTCTTCTAGCGTCAGGTGGCAGGGTAAGTTGTAGTCGATATCTACAAAAAGCAACCTTCTTTTGAATCACGTAAATGCATCCCGGTACTCGCTGATTATCGTACCAAGCAATCTGAACGAAATAACTATGAGGCACATAGGGCCTTTCATAGAGCTCTTTGCAAGCCCTTTACCTAAAGCCCATGTTGTTGTCGTATGTGCAGTTATTTCGAAGTAATCTTACGCGACTAATAAACGGAGTGCGCATAGATATAAACACAGATACGCCAAAGGAAAAGGGGAATAATGTGTAGTAAAAAAAACGTGAATTAAAATTATTTATCTTCGATGCAATGTGTTATAGGTAAATTCACGACTACCCTATGCTGCTTGAATCTGTATTCTTTTTTACGCAGTCTATTAAACCATATACATTTCTTAACTGTTGAGCTTCTGTTCATTGATAGGAAATAATTTTCGGAACTCAAATAGGAAACCATTTACTACGCTATCGACTTAACCAAAACAGAGAAACAAAAGACTAAGGCAATTTAACAACAAGCTGAGGGTGCACGTCGTGGCACCGTCTGCTTCAGCAAACCCTCCGCTTCTACAGTCATCACTCAGAAGTAATGCTAGTTTCACGAGTGACGTGCGAAAGCCGTTTTTACAATTGTTCTTCATTCCATTTATCCCTGCAAGTGTTAGTAAACGTAGTTTACAGCAAAAAGCTGTTGTAGACCATATCATGTGCTTCTTTGCCTATTTGCTAGCATCTCTTGAACCTAAACGTGTCTGTTGTACATGTTCTTGAAGGAAAAATTATTATATTGAATGATTCAAGTAGCATTAGATGCATCGGGATCTCACCAGCGTAATGTGAGTTTCGCAGTTTCTAATCAATCTACCAGTATTGTTTAGGCGCGTTTAACTGTGGCCTATAAATACGTTGGTGGAGGGGTGTACAGCCGTAAACGCCTTTTCAAGGAAAAGGCGTTTACGGCTGCTGTTGCAGTTCTGTTATTTGTAGTTCGTAGGCCATGCCGTAGTGTCATTTTGCTTTTTAACAATTGTTTCAATGCGTTTACGCACCGTCAGACAGTACCAACCGTTGTATAAATAGATTTGTTCTATTCATCAAAAGTGTTGACATTGACAGTTGTCTGTCATAAACGTGTCAAATAGTCGATCTGGGCGTTAGGCACAGCTGATTGCATCAACTAGTTTGTTGATGGATCCGAATGCAACAGTTGATACATGACGTTGTTACTACTTATTATGCAATGTACTGTTGTGTGTCATGACCACAGGTTATTTAAGCGTTTAAGCGCCACCTTTGCAGATGCTGGACCCTCTAAGATCAGAGTACGCGCTACTCTACCATGGCTTCGAAACGGTATCAATGTAAAAGTGTGTCGAAATCAGCTGTCAAGTACAACTGAATATTATAGCTTTGACAGAACGCTTTAGTGAATGCCAGTAATAATCGCCAAATATGACCAAGATAACAAAACGTCTGCATAGTCTAACAGTATCGCTCACTCAGATTCAGCGTAGATCATTTTCATGGTTTTACGCCATCTACAAGCAAAATCAATTCTTCTATGATCGTGGTCATATACCTTTCGTATCACTGCAGATAAGCGTGTGAATGAATGAATGTCGTTGGTAATTGTTGTCTTTCGTATCGAAAAAGGAAGTCGCCCACTGCACCCACAATCGCATGATGCTATCGATTACTAATCCAACGTTCGACAGTGTGCGTCACACAACTGTACAAGTTTGCGGAAAGCGAAAGAAAGAGGAAGTTGCAGTTCGCTAGACCAATCAGTTTAACTTAATAATCATCTCAGTATCGTCGTGCATTGTGTGCGTAACTTTGGCGTTGTGCCAGAAGAGAGATCCATGAAAAAGTCGAAGAAGAACTTCTAAGACGAGCATACATAGATGCTGTTGCTTCTAAAATTTGCATATGGCATGAACTATTATTATTTTGCTGTGCTTATGATTGATTCCTAATGCATTGAATGCAACCCGTGGTCATATGCGATATATCATCGACGTCGATGTGGTCGTGTTGTCATTTCTCTTAGGAGTCTGTTTCATCGGGCACCACATCTCCCGTCGTAGAACAACCCCGGATGACCCTCAGTGCAGATGCAGCATGGTTCACGCCGCAAACACGCGCTATTGTCTGGGGCATGCAGTCGAAGGCCGTTCAAGGTATGCTTGACTTTGACTTCGTCTGCTCCCGTAAGGAACCCTCCGTTGTGGCTATGGTAAGTGTGGCTATGAAGAATCAAAAGGAAAATGTTTGCCAACGAACGCGTTCTTTACCCCCTTGTTTAGGCCTATTTACCTTTCAGTCGTTGGGAGTTCTTGCTAAGCCCTTTTTCCGTTTTCATTAATGGGTATCTTGCAAGTTTCGCAGGCTGATTGTTAGCATTATGTCTATCGCTTTCGCCTTTACTAGCAACGGTTTCCCTTTCACGTTAATACAATTATATCCTGTGTATATTCGCAAGGAGTATCGAAGGAAATGCGTGTTGATTGCCTGGAAGGGTACGTGATCCATTCACTTTTCCGATTTATAAAGAAGGCCAATTTAGAAACGCTAAATCGTAAGCGGTACAAATTTCGTTCTTATTTCGATAGGTATATCCGTTCGTAGGCTACCAGCGTCTCAAGTTCTACTGGGGCCATAAGGAAATCCTGATTCCAGTGTACAAAAGTATTGCAGACGCTGTCCGTAAACATCCAGATGCTGATTGCCTTATCAACTTTGCATCGCTACGTTCAGCTAAGGAATCAACTGATGAGGCGCTCAGCTGTCCCCGAATTCGAACAATCGCCATTATTGCGGAAGGCATTCCGGAAAACGTGACCCGCAAAATCAACAAGCTAGCCAAAGAAAAAGGTATATTTGACCATCTATCGAAAACAATATACATACTTGTACGGCTGGGAACTACAAATATATTCACTATAGTCATTCACACAGAGCTCTTACAGCAGACCATTCGTTCGTTCGATATGATTAGAACTAACGAGTTTTAAAACGACAGCTTCAAAATGCCAACTGAGAGAGTGCATACGTTATTGGATCTAATATGTTGACTGAAGTTAAATGCTCGTCTACTTAACATAAATACTTATTTTATCTGTAAATCGAAGAAAACTATAGATTTTTTTCACTACTGGCTTTCGAATGACACTGGTTTGTTTATATTTCTGAGTAGGAGTTCACATAATTGGCCCAGCAACCGTTGGTGGAATCAAGCCGGGTTGTTTCAAAATCGGCAACACCGGTGGTATGATGGACAATATTCTTGCGTCGAAATTGTACCGACCAGGCAGCGTCGCTTATGTATCTAGATCGGGCGGAATGTCTAACGAACTTAACAATATTGTGTCTCGCAATACCGACGGCGTTTACGAAGGGGTTGCCATCGGCGGTGATAGATACCCAGGTGCGTACGGCACAGTAAGCAGCTAGAGTGCGCACTGTTGTCATAAATAAAAAGACCTAAGACGTGATGATCTGCCGTGAATACATTGTTTCGTCGGCTGTAACCGCATTCGCAAACTAATTCTATTTCGATAACTTTCATTTAGGAGGAGACTTGCCTAAATGAATTTAATGTGCCTACTATTTTTGTTTATGGCGTCATAAAACAGGCAGCACGTTCATGGACCATATCCTCCGATATGAAGCGGACCCCGAGGTCAAAATGATTGTCCTCCTTGGTGAAGTCGGCGGAGTTGAAGAATATGATGTTTGCCAGGCAATAGAAGATAAGCGGATCACGAAGCCTTTGGTTGCATGGTAGGTGGAGTGATTCTCACAGGAATGGAAATTTAGTATGATTTAAAGATTTAGGAAATTTACTATGAATGATAGTAGGTAGTAATTAACAGAGTGCGGTGAATGCAAGCAAATTCGTTTACACATTTTCGAAATAGGCAATTGATCTTTGAAAAGAGTGTTTGATGTGAAGATGTGAAGATGGTTGTCACACACACACACACACATACGAGCTTAACCTGTTTCATGTAAAGGTATAGATCTTAAAAGATATTAGGATAAAATTGTTTGTATTCTACGATAGTTATTGACCTAACGTTCGTGCACGTGTTCGACAGGTGTATTGGCACTTGTGCTGGTATGTTCGCGTCAGAAGTTCAATTCGGTCATGCAGGCGCGTGTGCAAATTCGCAAAAGGAGACTGCCATCGCGAAGAATCTCGCACTTAAGCAAGCCGGCGCTTACGTTCCTCGTACGTTTGATGAATTGGGTGAAATGATACACTCTGTGTTTCAAAGCCTTGTGCAGAAGGGTGTTATCATCGTCAAACCCGAGGTTCCTCCACCGACTGTTCCTATGGATTATAACTGGGCACGCGAGTTAGGACTGATCCGCAAACCGGCTTCATTTATGACGTCAATTTGCGACGAACGAGGCCAGGAACTTGTGTACGCCGGCATTCCTATTACAAAGGTGAAACTCACAGAAACAGTTTAGTTTAGTATGTTTAAGAATACAGTTAGTTGATATGACTAAGTCACACGGTAGCTCTTAGCTGTGCTATTAACTTTCATTCAGTTGCTTGAGGTGCTAGAACAACCCAGCGTCAGATGTGTTCAATATGTTTTTTTCGCTTGACACTAACTATTTGTGCGTGATTTTTTTCAAAGGTAATGGAGGAGGAACTAGGTCTTGGCGGCGTACTCAGTCTTCTGTGGTTCCAGCGCCGTTTGCCGGGTTACGCTTGCAAGTTTTTCGAAATGGTTCTTATGGTGACGGCTGATCATGGGCCTGCCGTGTCAGGCGCACATAATACCATAGTTTGTGCACGTGCTGGCAAAGACCTTATCTCCTCATTGACCTCAGGTCTTTTGACGATTGGTGATCGCTTTGGCGGCGCGCTTGACGCTGCAGCCAAGCAGTTCTCGTCCGCCTACGACAAGGGATTAATTCCGATGGAATTCGTCAACAAGATGAGAAAAAATGGTCAGCTTATCATGGGCATTGGCCATCGAGTGAAGTCAATCAACAACCCAGATATGAGAGTTAAGATTCTCAAGGACTTTGTTATACAGCATTTTCCCAGTACACCGGTTCTGAACTTTGCCCTTGAGGTTGAAAAGATCACAACAAGCAAGGTATGTGCACGTGCTCTACATTTTAGCCGTGAATTTTTCTTGTTCAGAATAAGTCAACGACAATCGATATGTGGAAGTTCGTTGGCGCACACACAATGGGCAAAACTGAAGCTCAGTTGTCTGTATATTTTTGTGGATCTACGAAAGGCTGGGCTAGTCTACGTTGATATACAACATTCCCTTTGGCCTTTCGAACCGGCTCAGCACCTTTCATATGTGATGAACTTTAATCATTACCTTCTATCTCTTCCAGAAACCCAGCTTAATCCTAAACGTCGATGGGCTTATTGGTGTGGCTGTTGTGGACCTTTTGCGTTCTTCTGGAATGTTTACTGCGGAGGAAGCTAATGAATACATCGAAATGGGCGCATTAAATGGTCTATTTGTCCTTGGACGAACCATAGGCTTCATTGGCCACTACCTTGACCAGAAAAGGCTTCGCCAAGGTCTCTACAGGCATCCATGGGATGATATCTCTTATGTTCTTCCGGAAGCCGACGATCCGCAGCTTCCGCTGTAGTTTTCGATTCCAATATCTCGAGTGACGAAAAGGGGAACGGCTTTTGAGACTCGGTAAAAGCCATATGTCATATTGCCAATTGTATGCTCTATCGCCGTTGCCTGATTAGTATATGAGAAGTTACGCTTCCGCAATAGCGTTTTCTCGTCGAGAACGGCAGGAGCACTATTGCACACTCGTAAAACTCACGATATTTTAACTCTTTTTATAGATTACTTATTATTATTGTTGTTGGTGTCTTAATTACAGCAAGACACATTGAAAACCATTAGTTTTTTTTTTTTTTTTTATTGAAAAACAGTATCCGTCAAATTGGTTGATGAGAAAATCTGAACACCTGTTCAACGTTTTTTGCGTACGACGTGCATAATATCTATTAGTAAACATCCATACGATGTAGACAATTACTGCAGTGAAGTAAAATGTCTACTAACACAGATTGAATAAATCTGTAAAAGATGATAAGATTTAAAAAATCCTTTAAAAGAGAATGGTGCCAGTATGTTATATTAAAAGTATTCTTGTGGTAATTATATCTGTAGATCCAGCTCAGGCTTGTTAATATTAAAGTGGGACAAACATTGTTTGTTTTACGATTAGACGAATGCATCGCATAACCCATAAAAAGGTGCGCTACAAAATTAGTAGACATACAAATCTCGACAGAAATTTCAGATACTAACCTTTGTTATTATATTATTATTATTCTTACGATAGATGGATGGACAGTAGCGTGTAGCAACTTAGCAACTCTATGATCAATATTTTTAGCATCGAACTAATAACAAATGGCAATAGTGAAGAACATAACTACTAGAACAAAGTAAAACTTTACATCGCTTTATATAAACTCGTTAGGAAAAAATGCGATTACAATTGGTATCCATGTCAACAAT